AATGACAAGTGCTTGAGGAGGAGGGCAGGTTAGAGCACAATTTTTCACGACATTCATGAACTCAAATTGCCCTGGTTCAAAATATGTGAGAGGGGTATTATCTTTAAGAGTGATGAATAACAAGTACTTCACTCCCTGAATACATTAAACTGAATGCTATGTGAGCTTCTAATCCATTATGGACTATTTCCATCTCAATATTGTCCATTGTACCTTGCTGTCTAGCATCGCTTTAAAAGGTGGGCAAGTTGTTGAATTGGTGAATAACTTATTTAGAACATATCTCTATCATTTTATAATCAGTATGGGAGAAGACATCAGGGGCTTTTCTTATCAATATGAATGTGTAAACAAACTTTACTCAGAGATGTTTTCAAACTGATTCACAAATCAAGTGAAAAGCCACAGAAACCCAAAAGTAAAATAAATGTTTGCACAGAAATATTGAACTTCAAATTGTGGTCAATAAATTTTGTGGTGGAAATGAAAATTGTTTAATTGTATATTTTTGCCCATGACAGAAAGTATAAATCTGGATGTGCTATAAAGTCAATCAGTCATTCACTTTTGATCAGGTAGTTTTTTCTTGGCTTAGTGTGGAGGGGTCAAAGGTCACTATTGCCTCCAAGCGTACCCAAAGCTTCAGTCTCAGTTTGTGCCAGGTGGGATGGTGAAGGGTGCAGGCATCAAAACTTGCCACAGCGCTGCCTTGGTGACCCCTGTCAGGAAGGCTACCACCGCAAGCAGTTTGTTTTTGACATTTTCTTCCATTATTTGGTCACTTGGGAGTTTTAAGGGCAACTAGCAAACAAAATACTCAAGACAACATTTAAATGTGAGATCAATAATAATTTTAAAACAGTTAGCCTCAATGCAACTGGCAAGTTAAAATTAAACATTGTTTTACATTTCTCCAGGGCAGTTTAACCCTCTCCAGGCAGGCGTTGCAGATTTGCAACAGCTAAATTCCAATTACCTACTTACTCCACATCCATATTTTATGAGCTTTTTTTTACTCAGGAGCCTTTTCTCCCATCCATGCTGATAAACGTGGACGATACAGACTGTGCAAGAATGGCTACACGCAAACAGCCTGCCAGAAGAGCAAAATACTTTTTTTGTTTACAAAGGATAAAAAAAATCAGGATTGTATATTACTACCCCATATTAAAATTTTCCCCAAATATCAGATTTTTCTTGATACTAAAAATTTATTTGAGCCTGAGAGGGTTAAAACCACCACGTTTCTCGATAAGCTCTGTGCACAATAGCACCCAGCATCCTCACTGTTAGCATCACTACTTGTATTGTCCAATATTTTCTCTGAGGTTTTTGCAGTCGTACTAAAATTGATAAATATTTAAAAATAAGACAGTGAACATGGAGCTGTTGGTGGATGTCACTGTATACAAAGTATACAAATAAAATTAATACTTCAGCAGAGGATACTTCTGTGTTTAAAAAGAGCGATATGTTGATGTATCAATGCTTTACGCTAACACAAATTTTTTGTTTAATTAATTAAACATTTTTTGTTTATTTTATGTATTACAATTTTTTTTTTAAGTGACTGTTAGCTTTGAGACACAGTAAGTCAATCTTAGACATGAGAGTTCTTGAAGACTTTTTCTTTGATTGAAATAGCTTTCAGAAATGTCTAATAAAGGCAAAACTATAAAGTAAAAAAAGTATATACCTAAACTGTTTTGGGTCTTTTCTCGGTACCACCAAAGCCCATACAGCTGCAGCCATCAATGCACTTTTCCTGACCTATTCCATTCTGTTTGCACACAGCTCTTCACTTTTTTTTAGACACATTCTATTTCAGGTACTTAGATCTTACCCCTTGTTCACCTTCAGACCCCATACTTCCACTGGGGTCACTCTCATTCAAACACATGTATTCTATCCTGCTGCAGCTAACCTTTATTATTCTTCCCAAATCTTACACCTCCCATCTGTATTTTCTTTAGTCTTGGATTCTAATGGCACCAGAGAGGAAGCGTATGTACACACTGCATAATGGTTCTGTAACATTCAGTGCACTGGTTTGTTTTATAATGTGAAAACAAGTTAACACAAAAGCATTATCTTTTATTTCCTACTGACTCACTGCTCTCTGGACCAGTAACTATAAGTGAACAAATCATCATCATTATGGGGGAGCATACTGTTGTTACACACATTGGAGAGATGGCCTTTTAGCCCCATTTGCACTTTACATCCCGGACACATCCCAGCGTGGAGTCTCTGAGCTGACCTAGAAATGCGCAGAAATACCAAGCGACTGGTCCCTGTGAGATTATTAAATAGGCCTGGTATTCAAATGCAGTGTCTTAATACAGCCCAATTAGAAGTGTATACTGGGACGTAGCTGTCAGGCTAAATGTCGCTGTATACCTTTTCATGGGTAATTACCTTGCTCCCTTCTGACAGGGACGAAGAGTTTTGGCAGCAGGGAATTCACAGCATGTTGAAGAGGGAGTTTATGTCTTGTGCTGTAACCTTCGATTAGACTACAAAGTCAAGTGCATATTGTTAGTGGTGCATGTGTCTTCTATTACTACATTATTGTGGCCAGAGTTTAATTCGTTTTTAAGAGGTGATTACACCACATGTGTGTTTGGCCTTCACACTTAAATATACTTTTAGATTATCACAATTAATTTCACAATTAAATCCCTAAATTCAAAATATACTAAATTCTGCAGACTGGACCTGTACTTTTTACAAGTTTGGACAAAAAGGGTTTAGGTGATCAATAATAATAAGATATTTTTAATACTAATAGAGTCAACAAACAATTTCAAATAAATGCCACAATCTGGCCTGAGTAAGATTGTGTCAGATGGTGAGTGCACCCTTTGAGATGAGACAGGTGGACCAGAATTCTTAGTTTAGAAGAATAACCTGGGGAACTTGGTATTAAATTGTATTAAACATTAAACTGTGTGCACTTCTATTTTCTCAGTAGTTGTTCCTTTGGATGGGGCAGATCATTTGTTCCCCATAGCAGACATTAGTCAGCACAGTTCATATTCTGAGATGCAGATGAGTGCAGTGCCAGCAAGTAAGACCCAAACTATGAAAGCAAATCAAATAAGTCAACACTTTGCTTTACATGGTTCAAATGTAAATCATGGGAAATGGGCAGAGAAAAGCTTGTGAACAGTATTGTTTTTAACACAAATCTTCTGGGTCAGTGTTGGTGCTATAAGATTTTGAAAACAGTTACTGTATATTATACAGAAGAAACTTACAAGTCAAAAATGTGTAATCATGTTCAAAACATGCACAGCAGTATAACCCACCGGCCGAGTAATCCTGAACAAAATCCCCAGGCTCTGCACTGCTGTGATCCACTGCCCTGATTATCTGCTCTGAGGTACTGGGTCAAATGTTGACACTACATTTTCCTTCATGAACATGAACAATAAACTAATATTTTCATGAGAACAGGGAAGGGACCAAAAATATAACAATCTTTAAAGTAACAGTTTGGACATATGTACAACCTGCTGTCCCTATCTTATCCCAATAAACAATGCAGTAAACATAATAAGTGTAAGCACACCAGGTTCTTGTGTGACTGTTGGGGTTTACAGTGGCAGCAGCTTTGAGTGCTCCCTCAGTACAAGGCTCCTCTCCCCTCTACTGCTGCACAGTATGGACACATGAAGGTGGATGTGTGACACTTAGCATTTCCATGTTCCTCATTATTTCGGCCTCAAACCAGTGTCCTCCCCAAGCTTCTGTTTTCACACCGGAACACTGGAAAAAGGATGATTACATTTTGCAGATGGAATTAACCAAAAAAAAAAAAAAAAGAGAGAGGGAGAGAATGGACAGTGAGCTTGAAATGATATTCCCTTTGGAGAGGAGAGTGTGCAGACCAAACCAGCACATAAATATCTAGAGTCCTTCGACACCCTGTGACATGTTGGGTTTACTTTGCCTTTTGCTGTCTGAGTCTTATATAAGCATACTTTATTACTACTGTACACCTATATATCTGTAGCTGTCTAGAAATATATTGCTATGAGTCAGTGACCAATATTATTTTTATGTCAGTAACAGAGTTATCAAACAAGAAAGGTCAAATTTACAAAGCAAGTAAATTTAGAAGAAGCTCTTTAAAAATCCTACATGGCCAAATTTAAAGCATATGCAGGTTCATTGAATACATGCACATAAAGTGAAAACATAACTGTATAGTTATCATCTACACATACACCTATGTTTTTAATGTTGCATGTGATGAACCATTGAACCTTTAGAATTCATGGCAGACAGAAATTTCCCTTTGGGTTTACATATCAAGATCCCATAGATTAAATATCAAATACACATATAAACATTCAATGTAAAGAGCCATTGATCAGTTGTGAGTTTTAAAAACAATGAAGTCTGAGTGCTTTATAGACACTGCTTTTTGCTCTTTCAGAATAGGAAGCCAATTATATGTGAGCTCAAACAAGAGATCATTCAAAAAAGAGAAGCGCTGTGGTGGTCCTTAAAGCTCACGCTGATTTCCAATGTCCTCAACCGTGTTTCCTCATTCCCAATCACTGGAGCAGCGCATTCAGCACCATGGACAGCTACTTTCAGCAACACGCGCTCATTGGACGTGCGTAAAAGCGCACAAAGAAGAGCCCCTGAAAGTTGGAGCGAGATTGAAACGAGCAGCGGTTGGCTTTTACGCAGCAAGGGGCTGAGCCAAATGATGAAGATGATGATGAGGAGGATAACGCTCGATGCTTAATATCCAAACTGAAGACGCTCGCGGAGTGCGCTACAGTGATTTAAAGCAGGACTGAGAACAGTGGAGAACAAACACAAACTCGGCCATTCCCATTGTCCCCGTTTAGTTTAAACAACACAACAAAGTCATTAGCGTGTGCACGTGTTGGGCTTAATGTTTCTTCTCACACTCTCATCTGACACATGGCAGGCACACATTATTAAGCACCTCTCCAGGACGCAAGTGAGCCAGGACTGCTATGATCTTGTCCAACCTGAGCGACTGCGCGCAGCTCAACAGCGCTTTGTGCTCCGGAGTTGGAGCTTGGGACGGGGACGAGTTGGACGCAGTCCCCGGGGAAGGACAGTCGCTGCTCACCCCGACAGGCAATCTGGTGGTCGCCGTGTGCCTGGGCTTCATCGGGACTTTTGGCTTTGTGAACAATGTGCTGGTTCTGCTGCTGTTCTGTCGCTACAAGATGCTGCGATCACCCATCAACCTGCTGCTCGTCAACATCTCCGTGAGCGATCTGCTCGTGTGCACGCTCGGGACGCCGTTCAGCTTCGCCGCCAGCACGCAGGGACGCTGGCTGATCGGGAGAGGAGGATGCATGTGGTACGGGTTCGCCAACTCGCTCTTTGGTAAGTAGCCTAATAACACACTGTCTTTGTTTTTGGATGAGCGTTGTCAAGAGAAGCGTTATAAGGTGTGCATTAAGTTCCCATCGTCTTTTCTATGTGTTTGGGCAGTGAATGTAGTGCTTGGTAGATAAATGTTTGAACGTTGGAATCGACTCCAGAGAGGCAATTTGGCTGTGATTAGTGAGAGAAATTAAGTGCTTTCTATTTTGAAACGTTTTACGGAAACGCAGTAGGCTACAGAATTAAAACTGCGACTAAAGCCCTACAGATAACTACTGTTATGGTCCAGTCCGATGCTTCCATTGCCTGGATGAGTGGGTGTTCGCTGTGGGTAGACACGTAGTACGTGTTCAGGTAGTGCCTATAGGTGTGGAGTGCTAAACCCTGCTTCTATAATGGAACCATAGTCAAAGGTTGTGTGTCATTTATTTTGTGTAATTGAAAAAAACAATGCATGTTGTGTCTATAAAGTCCCACAAAAACGTATAAATAGTTGCACTGAAACAAGGAAAAGTGTTCAAATGTGGCTAATTGCTGCACCAGCTTACGTAGACATCTTCTCATCTGGCTATAGAAAAAAGCACCAGTAAAAAGTAACACTTTTTTAAAAGTACATTATATCCCATGGATTTAAGGCTACTTCAAATGTTCTGGTCTCTGGCACAACCTCTCCTCCGCTGTGGTTTTGAGCGACGACAGCGCGCGACTCAACAGCGCAGCTCACTGGTGCTTACAAAGTTGGTGCATGGTTCCTAATAACCTACACTTTTGTCTAATGGTATCCTGGAAGCCACTGCTGCTTTGGCTATTGGCACATATTTAGTGGCTCGGGCTGCTTGTTAGTGAACAGTTGAGTGACCACGCCTGCGGCAAGCACAGCGCCATCTCCGCTCATTGTGGCTCATTGTGGAATCATTGCGCCTCATTTGGTGGGACGTGGTGCCGCGTGGCGGGACAGGGCTCTGGTGATGCTGGTCTCGGTTAGTGAGCATGCACCTGCAGATACATCAGCGTTAGGAGCAGAATAGAAAATCACCCGGGGGACGAGAGCAATGAGAGAGGACTCTGCGGGGCTGATAAACATGCAAATGAACTAAACGACGCCACCGAGGATTCTCCGAGCGCTGGAGGAGAGCCATGGTTCTCTCAGCCAAGAAGACTAATACACTTCTGTGTCAAAGACAAACTAAAGGAGGTTGTGGTTTTGGAGGGATTTCAGATTCAAAAACAAAGTTAGGCCTAGAATATCTAGGAATCCTTGGCAATATTGGCATAATGCGTTCCTCTAATGAGTAAAGCAAAATTGTGTAGTTTCATGGATAACTTGAAGATTACAGTGCTTCAGTAAGAAAATAACACTTTTTAACAAACAAAAACAGTCAGCATAATCATATCAGAAGCCAGTGCCACGCTGTTTCAAACTGTTGTAATCTGTGTCATGCATTTTATTATTGTAGGCTGTTTTTTTAGCTTGCACAAACACCACAAACCTCAACTTATTTGAGAGCTGACATCTCATCAGTGAACCAACAATATCGCCAAAGATGTTTTTACAGACTAGTAAAATATTGAGTGCACTTCACAAACACTTACAGATCCCCATACAGCAGCTCATGGCAAACACCCATCAACTGTCAGGGCCCTATCTTATAAATGTTTCACTATGGCCTCCCTCTGTCCCGATGAGACTAGCACCTCAAACAAGCACACTCACGTTTTATCTGGACAGGCCGCTGGGGCAGATACCTATGAATACAACAGTTCAATCCATGGCTGTAGGTTAAGGTGCATGAAAGTATGGAAAAATACAACTAGAGCCTATTACGTTCTCACAGCTGTCAGTCACACTATCAGGTTCTGCTCTCTGCAAGCCACCTGCCTTCTTCACTCTCAGTTTCCATCCACAATTCAAGCATTTCTTAAACATTGCTATCGAGGAGCTATCTAAATATATAAATATAGTATAGTATAGTATAGTATAAATATTGAAATAAATGATTAAAACCAAGTTCACATAGCTCGTAGTGTGTTCAAATTAGTGCTGTCATGCGATTAAAAAAATTGAGAGATTAATTAATTATGATCTGTAATTAATTAATCTAATTAATCTCATTTTAATCTCACCTAAAAATTACTGAGAAAAGCCTTCAATTTGAGGTATTTTCATTTAAATTCATTATTACATTATTGTGGCAGATCAAAAGACTGATATAGATTTTAAAAAGTGACTTTATAAAGGCATTTATTGTTTAACAAATCTCTCCAAATTGGCTGTTGAGCCCAAGTCTCCATGAATAAGAAACTGTTTGCTGTAAAGTAGCAAAGACTAATAATAACTTTTGTCTACTTAAAGACAATAAAAAGTCCAGTCTTTCCTTAACCATATTCAAAATATTATTGATAGAGAAATGCTTTATATATGAGATCACTGGTTTTAGTCCTTGTTTTAGTCCTGGTTTAGACCTGCTTTAGTCCTACTTTAGTCCTAGTTTAGTCCTGGAATGGATTAATCCTGTTTTAGTCCTGGTGCTAGTTCTGGTTTAGTCCTGGTTTAGACCTGGTTTAGACCTGGTTTTAGTTCTGTTTTAGTTCTGGTTTAGTCCTGGTTTTGTCCTGGTTTAGACCTGGTTTTAGTTCTGGTTTTAGTTCTGGCGAGAAAACACGGTCCACACGAGGTGCGTCGGTGTCCGCGCAGTAACTACGGAAGAAAACGTGGTCCGTGCATTCTGAGGTTAATGACGATGATGAAGGTGTGTGTTTGTTTGTGTTTGTGTGTGTTTGTGTGCGTGTCCCCTCATGTGGCAGGTCACTATAGGACAGTAGTGCAGACATCATGAGCCTATGCAGGTTGTTTTCACCAGTGACATTTAAGTTGTAGGCGATATTATATTTGTTATTTTCTTTTATTTTTCACGTCGGGAGAATAATTTCCAAGACACGAATGTGTTTTTACCTGTGCACTGCTGCCTCTGTTCTACTGGCTCTTCGACCTCGTCCATTATGTGACTGACGCCGCCAACGTTAACATGACGTTTACATCGCTCTTACTGCGCGCGTTTTGTGTGTGTGTGTTGTTGTTGTGTTCCAACAACACATAAAAACAGGTTTTAGAATAAAGCAACTCGCATACAGAAACACTAAAGTTAGAGATTAAAAATGAGATTAACGCGATTAAAAAACATAACGCACTAAATATGACTGTAATTAATTAATCGCAATTAACGCGATAATTTGACACCCCTAGTTCAAATCTAATCCACTTTATTTCTATAGCACATTTCATAAACAAAGACTGTTCCCAAAGTGCTGCACATAGAGAAATAATACAACTGAATACAATAAAAACAAAAACAACATAGAAAAAACTAATAAATACAACAGTGAAATAGATCCATAAAACAATATAGTTAAGGTGACAGTTAAACTCTTAATGTCATTGCTGATCCATCCTTGTAAAGCTGAACATGAAACATGAGAGGATATGGTACTGTACATACCAATGGCAGTTCTTAAGAACTTTAGCATCGGAGCAGTAACTACAAAAGTACAAACAAAACCAGCAAGCTTTTCCTCCTTGTCATTTGTCACCAGGCTCATCTGTATGTGAATTCCTTTGTGCTAGGCCTATTGTTAAAGTTTCACAAAGTGTGCCCAACTTAATCAAAACGCATTTCCACTCACTTAGAGCCAGTCAAAACTTTTAAAATACAAAAACATTCTTGAGCATGCTTTTTGACATTCTACAGCTGGCATAGGATGTAATTTCCAAAACAGAATTACAGTGAAAAGAGAAAGCTAGTAATAATATGCAGTATCCCAGTGTACTCTCTTATAATATCCACTGTCTCATTAACTCAAGTGTTGCGCCGCGATTAAGCTCCATCTGAAACACATTGTCCACAAGGAGCCAATTTATAAAACTCTTTTTGACAGGACTTGCTTCTCTGTGCGGAAACAAGCTGCATACTGTATGTATGAGGGATAGGAGAGATAGCTTACAGACATTGTTAAAGCGTTCATTGGTTATGGATGAGTAATTCCTGAATGGGCTCATAAAAAACAAGGCACAGACGGAAAGAGGGAGGGTCAGGGACTGGAGGAGAGGAAGTCGTTGTCTGGATGAATAATGGCGAGGTGTTCAGGCAAGAAATGACAACATCTCCGTCTTCAGGAAAGAACTACTCAACTTGTCACTGCGTTTAAGTGGAGAAGCCAGGATTGAATGACAACAAGAAAGCAATACAATCATTATAACATATTTGTGTCAGCTTTCATATAAAACATCAGTTTAAATGTGGAAGCATTTCAGGGGTCGAGAGAGAGCACCCAATGCAATACTTTTCAGACAACACATTTATAAGTTTATAAAAGTGTACTCCAATTTAAAACAGAATCTGGTTCACCCAAAGGACAAAACCCCAAGCCACAAACAAAGCAATGTGGTCTACTCTGTTTGGTGTAGCGAAGGTTGCAGTGAGCATTATATTGGAGAAACAAAACAGAAACTCCATAAGACAATGTACCAACACCAGAGTCAGAGCAGCATGGGACCCCAGATTGCCGAACATCTCCATCTCAAAGTGACCAACCGCTCCCTTGAGGATAGTGAGGTACAGATCTGAGCCAAAGAAAAGAAATGGTTTGAGAGGGGAGTTAAAGACAGTCCATCTTTGAACAGGACTGGGGACTTAGACATCATCTATTTAAATCCATTTCTCGTATTGACGACTCCATCCTCAGACCAAAATTAAAGCAGGGAAAACAATAGGGATAGACATTATGTTAATAGATGCAAGAGCAGAGCACCAATCAGGGGCCTAACACCTATGCTAATATGACTCAGGCACATTTCAAACTTTGTGTAGTTCAATAGACCTATAGCCAACAAACAGAAACTGTAAACACTTAGGTGTGGTAGTTTAAGTGTATTTTCATTGTGTAGTCAGCTCCTCCCTTCAGACAGATATAAGGCAGTATCCACCAGCAATTTGACCAAAACT